GGCGGGTCGGGGCGGGACCTTGCCTGAAGATGCCATGTTTCCCCGAAGATGCCACGAGCGACGATGTCTGAGGCGCGCGTGGATGCGGAGACCTTGCCTGAAGCCTCGGTACACGGGAGTCCGGGAGGGCGCCTGGAGAACGCGGTGCAGGACCAGTGGATCAGCTGCAAGACCCTTTTGGGGAATTGGTGGCCAGACTGAACCATGAACATCAATATACATGTGAAAACTTTCTGTGAAAACTTTCGGTGACACTGAAGACCACGAACCGACGAACACAGACAATGGGTACGTGGAGTTCCCGTGAAAGGCTGTGAGGAAAGTCGTCGTATTACATGGGACCCATTTTCCACTTCCATGTTGCACCTTTCTTTAACATGGAAGGCTGTGAGGTCTACAACTTTACAACAGTTGAGCTCACAAGCCATTGGCCCGTTTGCCCCTTAGGACATCCAGTTCCCTATAGAGCCATAGACGTTGCTGCTCGTGAAAAGGGAGGATCGTCGTCGAGGACAGCAGTGGGGACCCTGCTTGTATGTGATGTGTTCGTCCGAGTATCACCTTATGTAACCTTCTTTACCCTTCCTGAAACAATAATGGAAGTGGAATACAGCCTGTTCATATCTGTTCATAGAGGAATTCAGTCTTCCAAGGGGTCTTGTTCCACTTCCATGTTTGTTGGATGGAAGGTATATAATCTTCCAGGGATCTTCTGCTCGGGAGATTGACATCCAAAGGTGAACAGGCCTAAAGATGAGGTGCTTCACCACACTCGAGTTTGGGGTCTTTGGTTTTCCGGGGTGGTGAGAGTTGTGCTTTGTGAGGGATATACACCGCATGTGGCCATATGATGTGAAACCACACTCCATGGAAGATCAGGTTGTTTGAAGCAGATTGAATTTGATCGATCCCAAAAGTGACTTCCATGTATGAGAACCGCTGAAATGTCAAACAACAGAACGTGTCGAACAAATGGCTAGCACACTGTAAAAGAACTCTCTAGTCAAGTTGGAGATGAACTTTGGGGTAACGCCCGGTTTTTCCTCATATGACCAATCTCCAGCCTCCACAAGCGATTGTCGGCGCATTGCATTGTTTTCTCAGGAACAGGGATATGAAGCGATGCTTGGGGGAGATGAAGGACCCGCCCCTGGGCCATTTGGGGAGAGGTCCAAAACCTGGAGCTCTAGTCCAGCATGAAGCTTGACCTTCTAAATAGCTCAACCAAGGTATCCTGGTTTTGACCTACAACCATAAGTGTTGAGACGCCACACGTTTGCAGCGGGAGAGAAGTGTAGATGTATACAAACCCTTATGATCCCTGTTTTCACTTCTTAAACACCGAAAAGCATAATATAACCAGCTCTTGACCTGCCACTACAGAACCAACTTGCAAAGGCATTTGAAAACCTCCTGTTTCCTGTGTGATTGGGCCCATCATATCTATAGCCATTTGGAAGGCATGGGCGATTCACAATTTCTGTATCGCAGCGCACACATTCTGTGGCTGTGGTTCAAAACCCCCTATATAATGGTATATAGTTCTGAGCGTTGGCACTCGGAGCTTCAGAATCGGCAAGTGTGATCAGAATCGAAACCAACATCCAGCTTCTCCCGCAGCTGATATTGCAAGAGTGTGTGTGTGTGTGATATGGCGATGAGCTTTTCAGCTCGTGAGAAAACGGGCTTTGCTGGTGCTTTGGGTCGTCCATCGAGCCCTTGTCCATCAGTGTCAAACTTGAATTGCTCCCCGTGCTGCGGCCGAAGGTGATTCAACTCGTCCCAAATGCCACCGTCCACCGGTCATCAATAAGTGGGGGGGGGTTGTCCAGGTGACCCCGACGGTCGGGTCGCAGGTGACCCCGACGGTGTCGCAGGAGCTCATGAGATTGTCCCGGATGCTGGAGGAATCGCAGCCAGCAGGCCAGCAGTCTCATGGGATGGAGTCGTTTCCCCTATACCAGTCGTACCGAACCTCAGCAGGCCAGCGAGGTCTCGGAGACGATGTCGGTGCCAAAACACGGGTCCAGGAGTCGTACCGAACCGGGTCGGCTTCGGTACTTCTCCTGGATTTTCAGGGTTTGATGGCTACACTCCCTGAACTCATGTGCCAACGTGGATGGCCCGCATGGCCAAGACGGAGGACGAACTCCACCAGGTCGTCCCGACGAGTGTTTGGACCGTAGGTCGTTCGGTGCGCCGAAGAGGCGACGAAATTGTCGCACGAGTCAGGGGTGGTCTATCCAGTGTCCGCGATTTGGATGGACATGTTGCTTACCTCTATAGTGAGAGAAAAACAATGGTGACTAGATTCATTAGGGTGGCTTAAGACAGATGTTTTAAGGGTCAATGTAAGTAGATATGCAATACTTGGCTTCTTGGTGTGTGTGTGTGTGTGTCCCACTCTTTGAGACTGCACTTGATTCATTTGCATACTCTTGACTTGTAGCAAGGGGCACCTGAAGCAGAGATAGGGCAGGTGCCAACAAGGACACCGACCTCTTGCTTGTGATATCGACGGGAGATGTCCTGTCGATGTGCCTGCTTTTCACGTTGTCATTCTAAGCGTGGTGTGTTATTAGAAAGGATCTTTTGGAGCGAAGCAAAAAAACGATGATACCAAAACCGATACCAAAGCCTACGAATATATGCCTGGCAAGACCCTGGCCCAGATGAACGAAGCTGAATGAAGCTGACAGCTACATTAGCCTGTGAAAAGTGACAGACTGCTGTTGTTTCTAAGGGTAGAATGGTAGAATGATGTACGTACAATGTGTGATTCTCTTTGGACAACGATACCAAAAGGTAAACAGAAAGAAAACGATACCTTTCCAGCTATTCCATATTTTCATACAAGCACTTTGATCAATGCTCAGATGTTGTTTGCCTACCCTAGCCTTGCAAACCCATCAAAAGAAAGCTTTACCATCTAGTTGGCAGTTTGTGCTACACCAAGCACGGCAAGGTGCTTTGCTTAGTCGGTGTATGCACCATGAAACCAGTGATGGTCGGGCAGTGGTCACACACCCATATCCAAGAAAACACGTTGTGTTCCTGCTGGGCCCATGGACCCATTGCTTTGGAAGAACAACTTAAGCACATTCCAGCACCCGCCTGGAACTGAGGATTGAAACGATCAGTCCCAGGTTGTCGCCGATAGAAGGAGACAAAGAGAAGGCAAAGCATACGCACTTGGTTTAAGGAGTGAAACACAGGAAACCCATAGTTTTGGGAGTGAAACCAGTGTAGTTTCCTCTGGTGTCCTCTTAGATGTTCCCCTTTGATGACTCCAATGTGTTGTTCGAGTGTCGATCCAGCCGCCCTCATAATGGGTGCGCGTGATCCATCACCATTCAGAAACATGTGGTTTATAGACCCATCCAATAACCACCATCCAACCAAGAAGATGGGATGGTAATTGGTGGTTATGGGGTTATGGGTGTCCATCCAATCCATGTGTCATACCATTCTGAAAAGGTATTTTCCATCCAATAACCACCTGAAATGGGTGGGGCAGGATGAGGTGTGGTTTTGTCGGGTCTTTCCATTCTTGAAGACCGCAGGGTCTTGGACCACATAAGCTCTTGAAGGCTGAAGGGCAATTGGTGTGGGGTTGCCCCACGGTTGCCCTTCCAGTAGGACTGTAGATAATTTCTAAATACGCTATTTGTTTTGCACTTCCACATTGTGGTACAATGTAGCGCGTTCAGGGTCGTGTTGTCTCCGGTGTCTCGTTTAGCCCAGTCACTTGGGTGCCACCCCAAACATGTGACATTGGACAGTCTTGGCACACTAGAGTTCTGCCATCAAGAAAAGCTGGAGAGCAGTACTGGAAACAATCATGTGCCTTGGGATCCGACCCACAAGCGCGAACATCGAGCACTTCCTGCCCTTGGACCCTTCACTCACGTCTCAGGAAGTCGCAGGCCTAGCAGTGCACCCGCTGGAGTGAAGTCCTCGGTGCGAACAGCGACCCGAAAAGCGAACCCACACAGTTGTGCAGTGCCCCCACCAACCAAAGGAAACTCTCAAAAACAGCGAAGATCCTTGAATTGCTCACTTCCGATGACAAACAAGGGCCACCACAAATTATAATCAAATAGTATCAAAGATATTCAGTCAGCTATCCCTGATGACCCAATATTTGCCTGCGTTGGTGTGATTTCAGATGTTCAATGTGAGTATAATATTCCATATACATGATCATACATGGAATGCAATGGTGGAGATGCTGGTCTCAGGTTTCCTCAGGCCTTCAGAACTTCTCTATCCATATAGCAACAAAAAGATCGCTTGGACCGCTTGGACCCAGACCCAAATGGATCCAGTTTAACAGTTACTTTTTGCTCCATAGACCTGTACCCTGTTTGGTTTGAAAGACAGCCCAACAAATGCGTTTTCTTCCTGGAACCCCGCGCCCCGCGCGCCGCACCGAGTTCTCCAAGGCCCGACACCGGAGGTCCGAGACCACGCGGCGGAGCGAGGTGGAGCTCCAGCGCGACCGCGAAGGGATGGACTCCGAGAGAGTTCATGGTGGTTTTTAGATGTTTTTTAGTATGATTGCTGATGCAGGAGCCGAAAAACCAAGACGTTTGGGCAACGATTCAGAACATGAAGTGAACATTGTACGTACGTCCACACATTCAGTTTGTGAAGTTTGTCTACTGGGAAGGGAGAACTCATGTATCAGCGAAAATCATGTTGGTACACAGATGAGAGGTACATAGTCGCAGTTTAAGTGTGAAACAGTGGACACATAAATATCAAATAATCAAATAGTTTTCGTAGATGCACACATCAACCCAACCAACCAAATCGTACATTGAGGAAATTCTTTCGCGCTGGAGGAGATTCTTTCGATTTGGCCCGAAAAATGTCCAAAATCTGCAACAAAGCGATGATCAAAATCTGCAACCGAACTCAGGGGAGGGGGCCTTCAAACTCAGTGGATGTTCACCATCCCAAATTGGAGGAGAAAAATCATGCCCATGTCCGGCATGCTTGGATTGACCAGCTCGGTCATGACTCTGAGTGACGAGCAGCTCCGTGGGCTGCGAAGCGCCAAGCTTCCAGCATTGCATCGCGTCGCCCGTCGACGGGATTGACGGATTCTGTTGAACCTGTCAACGCGACGGGACTCAAAAAAGCCAACCTCTTGGAGAGATCGGACCCGAATCCTTCAGAGGGGTTTGCCGTTATATACATCCCGTTGGCCGCCGCTTCGACCGATGTCGATGCTGGGACCCCGAGAGGTACGACGCTGCTGCCAGCTGCACTCTCAGTCCCCCGCGCACGTGACCGGGGTCCAGTCCGACGAAGCCTTTTGACACGGAACAGGCGTGTTGATTTGAGACCCTCAGATGGATCTACCACCTATGCAACATAGGAAACCGCAGAAAGAGGGCAGAAGAATGTTTCATAGTATGTTGTGGGAGTTGTATAGGACATGAAGATCACTTGTCGATCATGCAGGCAAGCCTTATTTTGGAAGGCAGCTGTTGGTTGTGTTCTCGATTTCTTTGAGGCAGGCAGAGAAGTCTTCCTCCCTGTCTCGATCAGCAGCTCTGGGCGGCCAATCAGACCATCCAGGCCATTTCATTCAGGTAAGTGGTCTGGGTATATCAACATTGAGGGGTTACCTGCACAGAATCCCATCTAGTACCAGTTATTATATAATTGCGTGATAGGTGTCTTGTTCAGATTACTGCATTGTTCTATTCAAATATATAATTGCAACCTTGGAAAAACACAGACGTGCCCTGAGGCACCTAAATCATTATGTCCCACAAAAAGATTGGATGGTCATGAAAGAACAGAGTTTGGATGTTGCGACAGCTCGCCCAAGCTGATTATGACTATATAACTATGATATTGCATTGCAAAGCATTATGAAATACAACAGAACATGATTCACCCTCCTCTCTCTCTCTCTCTCTATTTGATATACACAGTATACAACATTGATGAGTATACCTGATTATTGTCTAAATTGGAACATGTATATATACATGTACACAAACCATCGATTTGCAAGGTTGGTTTGCCCGCATGTTTGGATGTTTGCCCTTGGATCCTGCGTCGGGACCGGTGCTTGGATCCTCCGCCAGGGTCAACGTCGCGTCCGTTTCTTCACTGCTGGGCACTCAGCACCTAAGGGGTGAGACGCTAAACGGATGTGTTCGTTGTTTCTACTGTAGTAGCGATGGCCTTCAACGCTAAATGGAGGTGTAAAAGTCCACAGGGAACCCCCCCGGCCCAATGGGTGTCCAACCAATGGGATGTGGTCTATTTTCCTTCCTCCAGGGTGGTCTTTCGGGGTCTCCCTATTCCAATAGTACAGACGCAAATGGATGAAGAGCTGGCAACTGCACACGCACGCTCGTGGACTCGCAGGTTTGACTTGGCAGAGCTCATGTGTGCGCGTTCTTTTTTTCAGATTCAAGGGCTCCTGGCGTACATCCTGAGAAGGTGTTTGGGGGTTGGGTGGGTCTAAACAGCTTGTTTTCGGAGCTACACCCAGGAGCTCTAGGGTTCTAATGTGTTGGATCTCATGAAAGTTGAACTTGAATCTCTCAGGTGACCTGATGGGTGGTCAACCACCTGTTGAATCTCAAAAGGATGTGTCAAAAATCTCAATGAACTGTAACTGCGCGATGTGTTGCTGCCAAAAAGAATTCCCGGACCTTCAGTCCTTCAGCGCGCTGGACCAAACCCCTTCCCTTCAGAATGGGGTGGGGAACGCCGATCTCCGCCGCCTGGACGAGCTGAGATCGTTTTCGGTCACGGGAGATGTCACGTCCCGATTCGGGTGGGATGACTCCCAAATCAAAGTGGTGGAGAATGTCGCGGTAAGACTTGATGTCCCGCAGCCTGCACCAATCCAAGATTATCAGGATTTATAGATATATTAATATATAAACTATTATCAAATGTAGTAAAACACAAAAACATTGATACATGTATTATAATGTAATATATACACTATAATAAAATGTAATAAATATAAACACACATATATATATATACAATATATATATAGGTCGCAGTGTGTGTGTGTGTTGGATGAGAACATGTTGCTACTCCATGTTTTTGATTGGACACCTCATTGGTCGTGCAAAAAAACATGGACAGTTGAGGAGTTCCAAAGGAAGTGTTTTTAGCTGGTTCTCAAGTTCTTCTAGGCGCCTTTGGAATTGTGATTGAGTGTTGTTTTGTTGCACTTAGCAAGCATTCTACCCAAACCTCCTACTGGGTCCTTGACCTTTCTCGTGCGTCTCGTGAAGTCGTGCCGCCAAGGTGTTTACGCACATCCACCTTTAGGGCCCGTGTAAGCCAAAGGTAGGTTATAGGGTAGGTACACCCACATGACTCACATGCAGTGTGCCATGTGACAACCAACTGACATACAGATATGTGGCGCCGCGCATCCACACGCAAGCTAACAGGTGTCTGAAGAAATATAACATGAGACACTGCATCTTCGCTGTGCTTTGCAGAAGCGCACAGTGAAATCTAAATGGAGGCTCCCACTTCCACTCTTGCGCCCACTAAGCACAAGCAAAGCGTAGAAGCGTAGAAACACATGCTCCCACATGAGACGCACATGCTGCATCTTCGGTGCGTCATGCGGAAACGACATCTACAGTGGGCACTTTGAATTTGCAAGCAAAGCGCAGTGGCCCACACAAACATGCCTATGATGTGCCAATGGGATTCAACATTGTCGGGTGACTTCCTGTCTTTGCGTTGATCCATCGGTGTGCCATCTGGTGTGCGAAAGGTCGAATGCTACCTCCAAGCCGTCCAACCCCCCGTGCCACAGGTCCCCACACACCTTGGGACCTGGATGCGGCCCAACGGAAGCAAATGGTGGACGATTTCAACGACGCGGGGAGTCCCGACCAGCCGGCCGCCACCCCCCCCTCCAAACCGAACCGGATCGAAGGGTATCCGGAAGGCGCATGAACCGGTCGGGTTCCCGAGTCGGTCAAACGGAACGGGTCCGAAAGGGATCGCATGTAGTATAGTCGCGCGTGTTCATGCGCGTGCCAAACAGAGTATTGGCATGGTTCAGCTTGGTATTGGCATTCAGGGTGTGCTCATCAACCACCAAAACCTTGATTGGTGATGAAGTAAAGGCCGGTGTGATGAATCGGGAGAACTGGCATGAAGTGGCCCATGGAGGTTTCGCCGCGTGTCGTCCTAAGCCGGTCTGGGTCTGGCGGTTTTGCCCCCTATCCTCCAGAGTTTGAGATGGGGAGTACACTGGACCAACTCAGGTCTTCAGACATTCCTCAGGTCTTCAGACAGAGGAGATTGAACAAAGGACCAAGGATGATCACCCGACGCACATAACCCATCACCCATCCCGGAAAGTCATGATCATGAGACCTCCTGGTTTCTTTTTTGTTATTTTTTTGCCGGCATGACTCGTTGAACAAACGTCTTTGTAAGACATCGAAGAACGGGATCAACTTCTCGCCTAGGGGCACTATACGTCCTACATACCCGGTGTAACTTGCGTCATCTCCGACACATCCAGTGGCGACTGTTTGTCCTAAGGCGCCTGTTGTCATGTTCTGTTTTCGAGTGGATTCTCTGGTCGTTCCTGTTCTCGATCTCCCAGACCCGGGCCTTGTATCACTTCTTACGGCAAAGCAGGGGAACTCAGTCCAAACTCGGCCGTGCCGTACTCAGAGGAAGCGGTTCGGTGGAGAGGCCCTTTCTGAAAGGTTCATTCAATTCTGGATGCAGAGGTCATGAACATGATGCATCCCAGTAGAATTGGGGAGAATCTTCGCTGTTAAGAATCTTGGTTAACTGACATATGGGGTCCTCCAAGTTGACATACTTTTTGGAGAGATGTGTTCATGCTCAAACTTGTACCCTGGAGGGTCTCTTTGAGGCATTCAAACTATTGGGACATGTAGGTCCTAAGAGTCCTAAGTTTGATTGAAGGTGGTCATCGCAAGCGTGCCGCTGCGCCACTCCGCCGCGTTACTGGCGTTACTGCAGGTAACTTGGGGTGAAGCTCACAGCCACGGCGCCTGGGTCGCCTGGGTCGTGGGCCTTGGATTGTTTGGGGTTGCTGAGGTATACCAGGCCCGGGGCTTGACAAGGTATCGAGATGGAGATGTGTTCAGAAAGAGAGCTACCTGGACCTGGACCCTCTCGAAGTGCCAAGAATGGACACAATGAAGGGGCACATTGCCCAGGATAACACCTTCAGTCTCCAAATACCTCAGGAAATTGATGGAAATTGGCATGGTTGTGCCATGCCGTACCTGTAAGTACACAGATTCGGCAGATACTTTGGAATGATAGTATAGGTGTCTATGGAATATCCTCTAGCACCACCCAGGTCGCGTGGCTTATAAACCCCCTTGAAGAGGTATTTTCCCTCAAATAACCACCCAAGCATGGGTGGTGCTGGCTCATGCGTTCCCCGCCAAACTGCGCCTGGACTCAGGCGAGCAGTTGCCGTTTTCGTAGACCGCTCCGTGTATCGTAGAGACTGCAGACCATTCGCGCTGCAAAGACTGCAGCGGCGAAGCTCGCTTCGACGAAAGCCGTTGTGCGTCAGAATGGGGTCAAAGGGCACGTCAGGTGCCATGAAGTGTGACCTTTTCGGAGACTTTTTGAGGTGAACCGTACTGTCAGAGGAGGATGAAAATAAGATTAACTATAGGGTTTGACCCATCACGCAGGGTGATGTGATCAAAAAGGAGGTCGAGTGAGGGCAGTCGTTTCGTCGCCTCAAGCTTTGCCTTACTGAGGAAGAACAAAGCCATGCTGCAGGTGTTGATACTGCGGTTTGGATAGGTTTGGATTGTTTCATCCGGTCCTGTTTTCACGTGTTTTCAGAGTTGCCATGGTCGCAAAAACCGGGCCACACCGGACCATCGGCGGTCGCGCCGTGCGCGGGTCGGTCGGCTGCTGGGCTCCAGGAACTCATGCCCGGTACCTATGGCATCACGTGGGTCCTTCGCCCTCGTGGTGGCAGGCGGAGATGGGAGAGAGGAAGAGAAGCAAATGGTCATGTAACCTTCCGCTGTGAAGGGTGCAGAAGAGGTCTAGAACTTAATAGAACTTATAAGACTTGAACTGGGGAGCAGCGAACTGGGCACGTGTGCGGCAAGAATCCGGTGACGGTTTTCCCATGGTGAAAGCAAGAGCAGCTCGGAGAAGACCATGTGACTTGCTCATGTCAGGAGCGACTTGTCCCTTCGTCGGATCATTGGATTGATCAATCCCATTCGGAGAGCGAGCTTCAGTCGTTGGAGCGTTCTGCTTGAGAATTGGGACCCCATGGCCATCAACATGCATTGGGAATGACCCAGTCTTGTACTACAGAGGGTCAATTTCAGGGTCCGGACCCAGAGGAACAAGACCAGGGTTAAGCTGGCAAAGCTTGCCAACACAAAGCTTGCCAACAGTTCGAAAGCCGTGGGAGGACGCTTGACTCTAATCACCCTTACTATAGGACAGCATCACCTACATGGACCTATATTGTACTCATTGTACCACAAAATCACCTACATAAATGTCAGCCAAATGGGTCATATATGTTCAACTAGTTTCAATGATGTTCAATTGAATTCATCATATTTTAGATTGAAGTGTTTGGATGAAGATTCGTTGTGGCTTTCATGCACAGGCGGCCTGAGCCGAAAGTGGAGAAGAAGGCCTCTAAGCGGTGTGGGCCTTGGTGCCAAAGAGATACAGAGATCTCTTGATATATATATATATATCACATTATTATAAAGTTTTCTTGCCAGCACCCTCCAATTCTAGAATAGTTTCTCTTGATTTATATGACAATATGTCTTTCCTACCAGCACCCAACCCTCCAGGTCACCACTTGCCACTTTTCAGTCTTCAATAGCCCTTCGGAGACCTGTAGAGTCGGGTGCTCGTACAAGCATTCTTCGTATATCCCAAGTCTTCCCAAGAGAAGCCGTTGGGAAACTTGCAACCAGACCCGGCTTGCCGGGACGGCTCCCCGCCGGTCCGGGAGACGCGCGGAGTTCAACTCCAAAGGTTCGGAGACAACCAGATACAACAAGCCATGGGGGGTAGATGGGGGTTCCCCTAGTGAAATACACACCCCTACAGGTCCAGTTTGACCCAGGAAAACTTGGTCCTTAAGATCGACAATTGAGTATCATACTTCAGGACGAAGAAAGTGTGGTAACAACTTCACTCGAGAATGTCATTGATACTGTACCCGACACTAACACAACAAGCTGGGTATAGAGCAATATTACTGAAACGAGACTGTAGTAATGAAACGAGACAGTATCACGTCTCTTTCCCAATGGAATTCCGGCGGATTGGTTTCCACCCCGAACTAAGTTACAATACGCTACGCCGCTACGCTACAAATGTACTTCGGGGTGTAAACTAATCCGCCGGCATTCCACTGCGATCCCCTGTAGGATTCTAAGGGGAAAGGATTATAAGTTCTGTACTCACAAGTTTGTTACCAACTTTTGTCCTGGCTGTGTGTGTCTTGTCGTGTTGTTGGTGACCAACTCCAGACTTAGAAGAGGTCGCTCACTGACCTGTAGGGTACCCACCCCCTCTATGGGACTCTTCGACTCTTTCCACCCCCGTTGGGGCCAAGGCGAACCCAAGAGATGCAACGAGAAAGGAGTATGGCAGGCGAGCCGAGCGTGTTTGGCCAAGCTAGGCCCTCGGGTGAACTCGAGTGGCTCAACCAAAGGCTTCAGAAGTGCTACAGTTGGGGTCTACGGTCTCCGCTTATTGTTTTTCTGGACTCTTGTGATGTTTGTCCTCTAGCAACATCAAGAACCAAGAACCAAAGAAAATTACCATACTGACTGTACTTGCAAGAAAACACAATGTATTGAATTTTGTGCTTTTGGTACACCTTCCATCTCTAGATACATGCGCACGGATGACACATTGATTTCCCTTTTTGGCCGTGCAAAAAATCAGAAAATTATATAATATATTGATGTGTTCCGTGCATACAAGATTATCCAGTATACATTGATGCAGGTTAATAGTATATCCGTGCAGGATTCCAGGATACTTCCGAAAGTCTTCTTTTTCGGAAGGATACAAGATTATGCAGTATACAGTATACAGTATCCTGCAATCATCGTTTAACGTCTTTTGGAGGCCCTCGCAATTGTTAATAGGTTGGAGGCTATCGCTATTAGGTTGGAGGCCATTGCAGTAAGGAAGACACTGCGCAGTTTTACACGGCTTACTGCTCTTCTTCGTCGTAGTCTTCGTCAACCTGGCATGATGCAGTCAGTTTTCAGGCACGATCTTTGAGTTCAAGTCAAGTGTGTGCGATTGCATACATGCGGAAACAGTGTCCTGTGACACTTATTTGTAAGAAACATGTTTTGCTCGAACATTCTTGTGTAACGCATGCTGGACATGTTAAAGGATGTAAAGTACCTACAATGTGATATAATCCCGTCCTCCTAATAATAAACACGCCCCCCCCCCCTATTAAAAAAAACCTCGGTCGCATTTTTTCTAATAGGGGGTCCCTGAAATCGGGGGGGGCCAAAATAGGGTCACCTGGAAAGAGTTTCAAAACCAAAAAGTAATGCAGGAAAATTTTATATAAAATCCTTCATTAAACTCGTATCAAAAATGCAAAAAAACTGCCAGATCGAAGGGTCTTCCTTTTCCCCTACAAAAACCTTCATTAGAATAGTGATTCTTCAGTAGACTAACAGCTAAAGCTTTCGAAAGGTGATGTCGCTGTGCCATGCGGTGTTGCATGACCTCGGTGGCAAGTGCGTTTGCGTGAGTCCGTGCCATTGAGGGAAGGAAAGCCTGCTGGTGTAAGCGCGGCGTGTCATGGTAGAGTTTTGGGGAACCTGATAAAAAAAACTACCCCCAAAATCGACCATGTTGGTAGTTTAGTAGCGGTTTGAAAGGGCGGCAATTTAAAACCAAATATAAACCGAATTTAGGGGTTCGGACGTGGTGTTTTTTTAATTGGGGAGTGTTTATTAATAGGTACTCGGGGTTACAGAGCTTGATTGAACTCATTTTGTTTGCCGACATGTCATGTTAAGTCCAAATCGATCCTGTCAAAAGCAACCCTTAAAACCCATGCATATTTTATGTTTTGGAGTTCGAACTCAAGAGGTGCCTCCCTGGATGGGGTGCTGCCGATCAGAAGCCAGGTGATCCCCAGCGGAACTATCAGGCCAACGGTCGGATGCAGAACGCCTGTGGGGGTCGGATGCTGGGTTGAGGCACGGTGTTCACTCAAATGTCAGGAACCCCAGGGTGACAGTCCGGGATTGTCCCATGTTCCTCTATCATTGGGGAAGGTCGGATAATTTGTTGGAGGGGTGCAAGCCAAGATCGGTGTCAAAAGAGGACTTCGAGCTGGGTGAATTGTGTTGCAGATGTTCTTCATGGTTGGGCTCTTCACTTGGCAAGGTTCAAGCTGGCGATACTTTCGCCAGCCGGAACCCACTAGAGTCACTAGTCTAGTCGAGGCAGTCACATGCGAGAATATGAGAATCAGTTAGCACTACATTGTAAAAAGACAGGACTTTCTGTCTGTGCTTTGGTCGAACTGAAAACTGGGACTCTGACTTGATACCTAGAGGAACCGTTGGCAGAAATTTTTGCCGAGGCACCATTGTGCCCTGATTTCAGCCAAATTCATCGAAAAGCGCCGAATCCAAAAAATAACGCCGAGCAATATGAAAACTGCCGACTTTAATGGTTTTCATTTGCTAGATTCTCAAACCAGCACTTGCCAGATCTTGCCAGTCTTACCAAGCCCTTCCCCGCCCCTTTCCCAAGCCAAACCACAGGGTGACCATCCACAGTTTGGGCTTACATATGAGAACCGAGGGATTGGCATCCACAGTTTGGATACCTTGGAATCCTTGCACATGGGGAAAGAGATAGTTAATCCACAGTTTGGGAGTGCTTACAGAGAACACACTTGAAAGATCCAACAATGTTTGCCTAAGTGCATGCCTTGTCTTCCGGACGTTCTTGATATTTCCCCTAGGGCTTTCTTGAAAGGCCAATCCAGGCAAGCAAAGTTCTGTCTTTGCTTCTCCGGATCACTCTCCAAAGAATGCTTTGCCGCTTCGCCCTTTCATGATCCAACCTCCCTTGACAAGGGTGGCTGTAGAACAGCTGCAACTATTGGGCCAACAACAATGTTCTTTCCAGTGCAGCCATCCAAGATGTTGATTCTTATATAGGAAACCCCGACTAAGCAAAAACATGGTTACGGACAATTGCGCGAATTGTCGGGCAATTACGCCGAATTATCGGAGATCTAGGGATGACAAAACTTTGGAAAACTGCGAACAACTTGACTGCCACGATTTCACGCGAGGGTGCCCGGTTGGTTCACGGTGAGTTTATGTTGAATTATGCATGGTCCATGCACAATCCACTAACTTTCACCTTGGTGATGGAATCAAATCTTTCCATTCACCGAATATGTTCAACAACAGCTTTGTGCCACTGCAATAACTAATAGGAAATCAGGGAAGAGGGTTGCCTCGGGCCACAGAAACCATTTGGCATTTCTGCCAGGCCTTCTCTATTTCTATGAGTTGAATAAACGGTTTCCTTGATCGGATCCATGGCTGGATTTGAGTGTTTACCATGAATCCCTAAGCCAACAATGCTTGGCAAGAGGTAGGAACTACTGAAGAAAAACACTGGGCGTGAACAGCCAGGGCGCACCTCAAGAATGCCCGGTTCACCAGGTATTTGATCCCTAGAGGATTGTCGAGCCGAGTTATCATGAATCACCACAACCCGGATTGGTTCTGCATCTAATCAACCAATCAATATGTTCAAGAACCTCAAAAACCAAAAACGCCGAGTCTATCTTGGTTTTAGCAAATTACGCCGAATGCCCTTTT